ATATGTGGCCCTAGAGCTGGCGGTTCCCCCACCAAGCCCTGGTCACCGTGGTGCACGGGGCCTCCTGCCCCTTTTGTTACCTGGCCCTTCCCATGGCCGCTCGAGGCCCGCCTTCCTGCAGGGAGGCCGTTCGTGGGGGTGGAGGCCCCACTGGGGCCACACGACCTTCCTGGAGGGCAGGCCCCTCCTCTCTGGCCTCATCACGGGCTTGGGAGAAGGGTCCTGCGGGGGGTCGGTGGCTGTTTTTCAGATCTGAGTAGCCCAGCAGCCGCCATGCCGGCGCCTGCTCCGTGGGAGGACAGCCTGGGTTAGGCACGCTCCTGCCTGCAGGTCCTGGAGGGTTTGCTGTTCAAAGGCACCCGCCCTGGTCCCGCGGGCAAGTGGAGAATTGTCCGTTGCGGGGGACTCCCTGTGGGGGGGAGCAGAGGGAGCTGGTGTGCACTGAGTGCGATGTGACACGTGCTGCGTGGAAGGTGGGCACCGAGGACGAGGGCCGGCCGTGGGGGTTCGGCTCTTTCCTAGTTCAGCTGCAGAGGAAAAGACGGTGCATATTCAGACTTCGGGGAGAAAGAGAGCGCTGTGCCGGGGGCTGACTCCAGGGGTGTGGGGCTCCCCTTCTGTTAGGACAAAGGCCCCCAGGATCCACTCCCCTGCCCACCGCTCCCCGGGTTGTGTCTGAGTGGACCCGGTGCCGCTTCTGCAGATAAACGAAGTTACTCTCACAGCTAAGCCTCGAAAGCTCTTCCCTGTACCTCTCCACCGTCCATCGCCACCCATCTACCCACCGCCTAGCCATGTCTAATACCCAGCTACAGTCTGCCTGTCATCTCTGTCACCAGCTACAATCCATCCGTCACTTTTGTCCTCCTGTGATCCGTCTACTGTCAGGCGTCAGTCACCTCACTCGCTGTTACACGCGCTCACTGCCGCCGTGAAGCACTGACACCAACTGTTTGGAGACAGAGAGGCTGTGTTCCCCCAGTGCCCAAAGCCCTGCTCCCCCTTCCCTCCCCCCACCCCCCGGCCATGTCCCAGGGGTGGGAGCTCACTAAGAGAAATCTTCCCAAGTTTTGTTATTTATAAAATATTGCACCAACGGTGCTTAAGGGTTCCCCTCTCTCCACATCCTTGCCTATACGTGTTGTCTTTTATTTATTTACTAGTGGCCCGGTGCATGAAATTCGTGCACATTAAAGGGGGATTAATTAGAGGAAATATTTTAATATTGCTATTTGCCCTTTCTCTATAATAGAAGTGTCAGAGATGAAAGAAAATTAGTAGAATGTATATGAATGTCAGAGTCTGGGGCATGCCGTGGGACCCAGAGTCAAGTCCCCGCACACCTGCAGCGCCTCAAAATTGTGCAAGACCCAGATCCAGCCAGCCCCACTCCCATTGGGCGAGATCCAGACCTGGCTGTCCCCACCCTTGTCAAGCCCTGCCGGGCGGGGGGCTGCAGCCTCACGTTCCCCAGCGCACCCTCAGGTCCCCCGGCCTGGCACTGGGGCAGGGGGCATGGCCTGAGGTCCCCAGTCAAGCCCTGCTAGGCAAGAGGCACAGCCTGAGGTTCCCTAGCCCAGAGCTGGGGTGAGGGGCATGGCTTGAGGTTCCCTGTCAAGCCCCACCAGGCGGGGGTTGGGGAGTGATGTGGGCGCAGTCTCTGGTCCCTGCTGATTGCTCGTTAAGGCTTAGGGGAACTTGGCCTCTGCTTGGGCACAGCCACCTTGACCATTATGGTCAATTTGCATATTCCCTCTTTATTAGGTAAGATTGTGAAACAATGGCCATCCGGACAGGTCTGAGGCGGTTGCTTGTGGTTTTGACTTGCATTTCCTGATGATTAGCGATGTTGGGCATCTGTTTGCCATTTCTGTGTCTTCTTTGGAGACATGTCTGTTTAAATCCTTCGCCTCCTTTTCACTCAGGTTATTTATTTTTATTTTTGGTGATTGAGTTGTGGAAGCTTTTCACATATTTTGGGAATTAATCTCTTGTCAGATTCGGTTTCCAAACGCTTTCTCCCATCTCAGAGGTTGATTTCCGTCTGCTGGGGGCCTCCCACTTGTTTGTTTTGTTGCCTGTACTTTTGCTGTGATGTCTACAAAGTCAGTGCCAGGACCCCTGCCACGAGCTGTTCCCTGCTTCCTTCCGAAAGTGGTACAGTTTCTGGCTTTGGTTCTGAGCGGTGTCGGCGTGGAGCGGGGCGGTCTGCCCTCTGCGCCGGGTGCCGCTTTCTCCGCGCCGCTGGCTGAGGAGACTGGCCTTCCCTCGGCCTCCCCGGCGCCCTTCTGGAAGTTCACTGGGCCAGGGCCTCGAGGGAAACAGTAGGAAGACCCTAAAGAATAAAATAGAATAAAACCACCATGTGCCCCGCCATCCTTCTGCTGGGTATTTATCTAAAACAACAGAAACAAGGGCCTCAGGGGAGCTGGGTGAGTGAGCGAGGAAGGCGTATGTCCACCCAGTGGAACACTGTTTGGCCTTAAAAAGAAAGGACAGTCGGCAAGGCCCAAGGGTGGACGTGAGGACCTCGGGACGTGAGCCAGGCATAAAGCGAGCACGGCACGCTGCCGCTGATGTCTCCGAGACCGCACGCTCACGGGAGGAGACTGCGAAGGGGTTGCCAGGTGCTGAGGAGACAGCAGGAGCCTGGAGAGCTGATGTCCACGTTGTGCACATGGTCCCATCTTTGGCCGTCGGGAATCCTTCCTCGGATTCTGGGCCCTTTGACACAGCCCCTCATTTTTGTGGGTGTAGCTTCCTCAACCTCCGACACCAGAAGCATCTCCAGGCTCGTCTCGTCCGTCTCCTGCCCAGTCCCAGACCCGCGGCCAAGGCGCCCTTCCTTGCGTGGGCGATGGTGTGAGACACAGGTCTGCACCGGGAGCTTGCACATTGCTCTTGGGGTCCCATTGCTTCTCCACCCTCTCAGCTGACAGAGCGAGAGGCGTCTGTGCGTGTTACCCGCGTGCATACAGATACTTCATTAAGGGGACGTGAGCTCCTGCCGATGCCTCAGCCTGGGTCCCTCACGCTGGGTCATCCGGGGAGAACATACAATTCCCAAGCACCGCCCAGAGCCACTGAGTCAGGACAGACAATGAACATCACGGAATGTTTTCCTTGGTGTAATGTTGGCATTAGTATCAGAATTATGACAATATTGTTAAGTTTTACTGTTCATCACTCACCATTTGGGTAAGTATTAACCTCTGGGCAACTTGTTTCCTGCCTCTGGTGTGAGCATTTCAGTTCCATGCGTGTGTGAACTAACAGTGTGAAAAGTCTCACATGAGTCCATTCAGCTCTCAGGGTCTCCGGTTTGAAGCTCTAAGTACAGAAACCAACGCTGTGGAAGTGTGAGACTCGGGCACGCCTCACTCACCGCTGTCTTCTCTCCCGCGTCCCCGTGGGCCGCGCTGCAGGTCCCTTGCTGCCTCTGAGATGGCCCCGGTTCCCAGGATGCCCTCGGTGCTGCTCCTGCTGCTGCCCATCCTGAGTTCTGCAAGAGCCCAGGTCAACCCAGGTAACAGCATCGCTCAGCCGGGCCTGATGGGCAGGCAATGGGGTGGCGGAGGGGGTCACAGCAGGAGCAGAGGGGAACGCGCTCCCCACTGGGGGGAGCTTGAGGAGGCCTATTAAAGAGGGGGTGGGGCCGCAGCCACGTGCTCTGCACCTATAGAGCAGGAGCCGCTGGCTGGCGCAGGCTGCGTTTTCCTTGTGGCGCTGCAGTAGGTTCTCCTTCCTGCACGTGTGGCATACTCAGAAATACACGTTTCAGGAGGAGTCTTTCAGCCCCCCATGTTTTTATTACATATGTTTAAACTTTACATTGACATAGACAGTGGCATCACTTGCCTGTTGCCACGGTGATGCTGCCTGGCCACCTGAGCAGGGGTGACAGTCGGGCCTGGATGGACCGTTCTCTGAGTTCCTCTTGGTCCCCATGAACCTGGAGCCAGCGGGTACTGCCCGTCTCTGTGGCCTGGCTCTGAGGACCAGGTTGTGGGCTGTGCCCCGCAGCTGGTGTAGGTGCGTGGCAGTGGAAACGGCTTGGTGGCCAGAGCAGATGCGGGAAAGTGTGGCACCACCTCGGCCAGCCTGTCATGCAGCCAGGCCCGGGGTCAGAGGGCCAGGGCACGGAAACCACTCGGGGGTGCAAAGGATGGGGCTGCGTCCGCATTGGCCGCCGATGTAAACCTAGGAAAGTAAACAAGCTAGGTGCTCACCCCAGGTGGGGAAGCAGCCGCCCAGCCCCATGCCGTGGCCCGCGCGCCTCCTCGCAGCAGGTGAGTTGTGCTGGCTGTGCACTTCTGTCAGTGCCATCGGTGATGCTGAAGCACTCCCATGTGCCTGGCTCTTCCGCCCGAAGGTGTCTGTGATGTTCGCCGTGTTGCGTGCAGTGGAGCCCGTCTTGCTGCATGCATTGAGTATGGAGGTGTCTGGTCCACGTGGTGGGACAGGGCATTTCCGGTTCCGCCGTTGTAAGTTAAGCTCCTGTGATCGTGCCGTGCAGGCCTTTCTGGGGTATGCGCTCAGTTCTTTCGGGTGTAGACCTAACCGTGGAATTTCTGGGTTTTGAGTCACCCGTGACCATTTTTGCCACGGAGTTTTCCCAGATGCCTTTGCCTGTTCACCAGCTGCGCAGTGTGAGGCTTCTGCTCCATCTGCACTAGGACCTGAGAGCATTTTCATTTTCTTTCCTTTTTATTGAATTTACTAGTGGCCCGGTGCACGAATTCATGCACATTAAAAGGGGATTAATTAGAGGAAATATTTTAATAATGCTATTTGCCCTTTCTCTATAATAGAAGTGGCAGAGATGAAAGAAAATTAGTAAAATGTATATGAAAATCTTCCTCCTGTCAGAGTCTGGGGCGCGCTGTGGGACCCAGAGTCAAGACCCTGCTCATCCGCATGCACCTCGAAATCACGTGAGACCCAGACCCTGCCTGTCCCACCCCTCTCAAGCCCCGCCAGGCAGGGGGCGCAGCCTCAAGACCCCCAGCACACCCTCAGATCCCCCAACCCAGCACCAGGGCGGGGGGTGCGACCTGAGGTCCCCTGGCCTGGTCCTGGGGCAGGGGGCGTGGCCTGAGGTCCCTCGTCAAGCCCCATTGGACTGGGGGCATGGCCTCAGGTCCCCTGGCTCAGTGCCAGGG